TTCTTGCTTATGAAATAAAGTGTATGTAAACGACTTATTAATCTAGTGATTGTGAAAAGAGAGAGAGAGAGAGTAAAATCACCTTTTTTGGTAAATTTATTTAAGTTACTTTTGGTAAACACAGAGCTTTAATTGATATGTTGAAGTAATTATACTTGAATACCTTTTTTCAGTATTCTATGAATACTTTTTTTTTATTAAAGATAATATTACCATAACTAGGAAGTTTTTTAGTTTTAAAACAGCATATATATATATAACTCCAAAATTTATTTTATGTGAATTCAATGTTTATGACTCTTTTATGGATTTCAAAGATCATGGATTTTGTTTGTCAACATTTTATGGACTTTTTAGAAATTAAATCATGCTTTCTTAAATCATGATAAACATTGTTCATGAATTCTTACAGTAATGCAAGAATTAATGTACTTTTAAAAATTGATCAACAGAGAATTAACAATTAGCCAGTTACTACAGCTAATAATACTCTGATATATCAAATAACTTTGACCAAGTGAGGAAAACTATTTGATTTTTCTTTTTTGACGTAAACTATTTGATAAGACTACTTCGGTAGATTATTTACAAAGGAAAAAGGATAGAAAGTAAAATGGTAAAATATAATACATCCCGGAGGAGTAATCCTTATCACAGAAACTTTAATTTGACTCAAAATCAAATGTAACGTAAACATATATGATCACTTTACTACGTAAACATATATTGGACGAACACTTTACTACTAAAACTATTGCTAATTTCTTTGATCAACCATTTTGCTGGATAGATGAACTGTTACTGATGATTAGGGCTTCGAGATTACTTGCGAGTCAAGCGAGGATCCTACTGATTGACTACTTCTGCTGCAAAACCTTTCTTCTCCGATAATGGTACAATCTGTGCCCAAGGGGAAAAAACACAATAAAGAGACAGAGAAAGAGAAATTCAGGATCTCGAACATCATATGCATCAACCACCCACCAAAATGGACAAGAGTTAACACCGAAAATACAACAAGAAAGGGCATTACTCTACTGAAATCAGCTTTCAGACCAAACACTGTCACGGCAAGAAGGAAACAAACAATCCAGATTCTCACAAGTTCGCCAAAAAACATAACAAACTTGGTATGAATATATATAGCCATGTATGTTGATGTTTACTAACCTGCCGAGCCACCTGTGCTACGCGGAGACTATCCCGAGATGATTCATTGGTGAAGCTAGGCTTCAGAGATTCCAAATAACCATCATCTTTCTCTCCAGTCTTTTGTTTCTTGTTTCCGCTTTCCTCAAGAGACGAATCTCCTTCAGGATTGTTTAAAACCTCCTTCTTTCTCTTCCTCTTGAATGTGTACTTGATGCACCGGTTATTATTAACTGCCAAAACCGGAGTTCCTTTACACAAAGGAGATGCTGAAACCTCAATATTCTCACAGCTCTCTTTTTCTTCTTTCATTGCCTCTGTTTCGCCAATCGCCAACTTTCTGCCATTTTCATCTTCCCTCGGAGATGTTTTCAAGGATACGGGAGTGTCCAAATCCTTCTGAGAAGAGTTTTGAGACTCCATTGGGTCTTCTTCATCTCTAACAGAAGATATGGAGTCACTAGCAACAGCACAGCCAGACATTTCTAAGGTCTCTACACTTTTACAAGACGAAACTTTGTGAAGACATACTCCATTATTCACATCTTCTACTTCTACAGAGGAAGACAGATCTCCACTGGCCACACTCCTATGTACTGTTTGGATCATTTGAGTGCATCTTTCAGCTTCCCTGCGTTTTGTCAATATAGACGGAAGAGTGTGGTGACACCGATCCTGGTTATCTTTAGAAGAACACCGGTTAATACTATTTATGCGAGTGAAAGATGTTTTTCTTATCCCATTAGGCACTAACAGTCCACTTTGTTCAACTGGGATGCAAGAACCTACAGCTCCTGATTTCTCGTGACTGCTAGAAACCTCAGGAACTAGCAAAACTGCTGCATCGCTGATTTTCAAACATGATTCTTCCTCGTGATCACTTTTAAGATGTGTCTGACCATTCGTAACTTTCTTGAGCTCATCACGAAGTTCTCGCAACTCCATCCTCAGCTCTCCTACAATATCTTCAGCTTCTCCAAGCTGAGCTTCAAGTTCCTCAACCTTTTGTTGCTGCTTCAAGGATATTATCTCTGTCTCCTTGACCTAAAGAACCACAAAGTCGTTTACAAAAATCAGAGTTCGGGAGCAAATACAAAACAAGCCACAGATGAAAGATGTAGTACAGTAGAGAAAGCTCATCCTCAAGCAAAATCGATACAGTTGTAAGATAAACAGCTAAATCCCCACATTGAGAAACCTTTCACTTAGAAATTGCACACTGAAATGAGAGCATAGGCCAAATAAAAGTGTAAGCCTCGCTAACAAAAAAATTGTAAGAGAATCAACTGAATAGAATTTGAGTGGCGGATTTAGAACTTGCCGCTAAGCTACTCAACTGGTTTCGCTTGTTGGTTTTTGGTAAAATGAGCTTTAGGTTTCATAAACGATTATCAATGGATGAAGATCTGCTCTAAGTGTAAAAAACATTGGATTGTATCGATGTTCATTGAAATGAATCAGCAATTT